CGCCAGCATCCACGTGGCCTGGACGGAAGGGACGGTGCCGGGGCCAGTCTCCATTTACATGGTGCAACCAGGGAGCTTGGCCACTTCATCCTGTTTCCTCCTGGGCAGGAAACCGCACAGGCTGAGGCATGCGAGGAGGTTGCAGGGTTTTCTTAGGATTGCCCCACACCCTTCCTGGCCAAAATCGACCGTCATGTGGCTCCATGTGATGGCAAAACATGTCCCAAGGGGGTGGGAAGCACCGAGAGGTTTGGTGCTGCCAGCTGCATTTGTTCTGAGCTTCTCCTCTCCATCAGGAGACCCCGATACAACCGCCCACCCTTTAACATGTATGTCAGCGTAACTAACTCACACGCTGCGTCTGGATGCGAGCGGGAAGGACAGACCCTGTGCTGAAATGGTGGCCAGGAGGGGACTGGCCCTTGGGGGCACGCCGGAGGAATGAACACATACCGCTCTCGCTCTTCTCCACGACGTCCACCATGTCCCCAGCTCTTAGAGCCATCTCGGATGTGGAGCTCTTCTCATAGTCAGCGATGGCTCGATACGTTTGGAGGACGATGGGGCCCGTGATGTCTGCGTGGGAGAAGTGAGAGATGGTCTCTCTCCCAGCCCCACCACAGAAATACCCTATTTCAGGCAGGCCAAAAGCAGCTCCTGGACAGCCCCCAGCGCTCTCCCAGCCTCTTCTGGTCCCAAACCAGCTGGGTTCCAGGACAGCGACTCATGTTCCCCAAGGCTGTGGCTTCCTCCCAGCTGCAGCTCTGGCACAGAGGCCATGCTCTCGGTCAGGGCACCTACCGTGGGACAGCTGCCCCTCTCCTGGCTGGGCTTTGCTGCCGCCGAGGCAGTCACTTGCACCCCTCTGAGGCCTCTTACCAGTGGAGTTTTTTGTGGCATCCTTCGGCAGGAGGAAGACCTCGGGCTTCTTGATCCTAGATGGGCCAGAGCAAAGGCAGCTCAATGCCAACCACCCGTCACCGCCGGCAGCGGTGCCCTCCCTGCGGGCTGCTGCCAGCGCCTGGCGCCGGGGACATGGGATTGCCCCCGAAGTGGCAGGTGCTGGACTCACTGGCTGTCCGTGACGGGGTTCATGTCGTTGGGACGGACCTTGAAGAAGTTGACCACATGCAGGCACCGGGAGATCTTGTGGGGCAGATTGACCAGGGCGTAGCAGTACTCAGCCAGAGTGCCCTGCCTGTTCTGGGTCGAGCGCTGCCCATCAAACCACTTTGGGGCTGGAGGAGAGGGAAAAAGCAGACAGAGTGCCCTGTTTTTACAAATTTCCCCAGCAGGTTGCTCTGAATCATTAATTTTGTCCTGAAAACGGGTGGATTTGGCCCCAGGGTGCTGCGTGGCTGTGCGGTGCCCGTAAGGCAAAGCTCTGTGGGAGTGTGCCCTGGTCTCCTCCCTCGCCGCTCCAGCCCCGGCCACGGCAGGCGCATGGAGGGTCACGCACGGCGCTGGAAAAGCTGGAGAGAGGCTGACCACAGGCCCACAGCTGTTTGCAGAAGCACTGCAGCCACGGGTTCGTTTCGGCAGAGCGGCTGGGGAGGCGAGCGTGGGGCAGCCGAGCTCGTCCCCTGCAGCCTGTGGGCTCCTGCACAGCTCGTGCAAGCCCAGAAAAGACCCTGTTTGACCCCATTTCAGTTACAACATTACTCCCACATCCATGCTCAGACTAAGCCCAGCTGCTGGGCCACAAATGCAGCAACTGCACTGGGGCACAAGGAGGGACTCAGGGGACCAGCCTGGGGCCAGGGGACACACGCACGTCCCTCCGTCCCACCGACCACGGCACACGTCCTGCAGCAGCCGCTCTTGACCCCAGAGCTCCAAAATGCCTCTGGCAGCCCTGACCCACGGCAGCGTTGAACCCCGTGTCGGGGTGCGTGTGTGGTCAGTGGCACCCCTGCACCCACCACTGCAGCCCAACGCCTGCCTTGTCCCCAGAGCTTTCGGTTCCCCAAACGGGACGAGGACGATCTGAACAGCTCTGGCGTGACAGCACGTAAGAAGGGTCCTGGCACAGCGGTGTTAATCTGGTCCCAAGGGGAGTCCCCCCCAGTGTGGCACCTGCACATGCTCCTTCCTGCCTCCTTTAAAGGAGGAAATTAAATAAAAAGGGGAATTCTGTTGACCTGCACTGTGCTTGGGGACAAACTGTCAGCTCTTTGGCTCAGGAGTTCATTCCCTGTCATTGGAGACATATTGCACCGCTTCCTCTTACAAAATATGTGTGTTGCTGTAAGGGCACGAAAACCGATCCCAGTGACAGCTTCACCGAAGGAAGGCTCAGCTCGGCTCAGCTTGGCTCGGCTCAGCTTGGCTCGGCTCGGCTCAGCTCGGCTCGGCTCAGCTTGGCTCGGCTCAGCTTGGCTCAGCTCGGCTCAGTTTGGCTCAGATCAGCTTGGCTCAGCTTGGCTCAGCTCGGCTCAGTTTGG